AGCAAGTGAACACATTTGCGCAGTCGTTTAAAGTAGCAATATTTGTGACCAATCAGAAATTGACTTCAATTGTTTATGCCAATATAAACCCGCTATTAAGAATTTGCTACTAATAAGAAATTTGCCCCAAATTATGTGTAGCTGTTATTATACGCAATATTACATCTAGTGTTCTTACATCATAATTTATTGGTTCAATATGACATTTAGAATTACTAAGTTGTGACTACATTTTTTTAATATAAAAGCTTCCCACATCATGGAGATCTCACAAAATGAGACTCCAGACTATACAATAAATTACATAAAAAAACAACGTCAAATTGTTAGAATTAAAGATAGACTGTAATCCTTTAAAAATTTACAAAAATTTATGTGTGTGTGTGTGTGTGTGTGTGTGTGTGTGTGTGCGCGTGGTATTGATGCTAGTATATAGTGGTAAATCGTATATGTGTAAGAGTTCCATTAAATCAGTGAAACAACGATTTCGTTGGTTCAGTTTTCAGTTTAAGCTACTTAAAGCTTACATCAAAATTAAAATTTTGAATATTAATTATCAGCAATTAGCAATAATTAGTAAATTTTACAGGTTTTATTGATAATAATGTTAATAGCATTATTATTCAACAATCAATTAATTCAATTGTGAGATCCTTGTTATTTCAATTTATGATTATATCAAGTCTGACAAACCAAATCGCCGCATAGTTTAGAAAAATAATTGTATTTGTATATTTGTATAAATATTACTAAGCAGATTCGTTTTAACCGAAAATAGTAGTCTTCTCTTATTTGTATTAATTATTAGTTTTGGTATTTAATAAGATATTAACACTCTAGAGTTTTTTATAAATATATTAATAATTTGATTTACTAATAATTTGATACACATAAAACTTTGTAGCTTGTTTATCACCCTATAATTTCCTTTTGCGCATTTTTAAGATGTTGCTGCATAGCAACAGATATCAACGCGATTAGTTTAGTACCTAAAATCGTGACGATTTCAATTAGTCATAAAAATTTTTACGTGCGGCAATATTACAATCACATCGTAACCTGTTACATAAAGCGAAACGGAAGATGACGAGGCTTTGCGATCTATTTCTCACGTTCGCGACGTCTATTAATCATTTTGTCACCAACACCGCGATGCTCCGAACTAGGATTAGCTTCTCAGAGACAGGCAGAAAATCTCACGCAAAAGTCCGATCGTATTCGCGTGTAAATGATTGCACGACTTTTCCGCGACTTACCGAGAATTTTCCCGGTAAATATCACAAAACTCGAAAGTCGATATTCATCTAAACTGTCAAACCAGTAAGAGCACCGGAGAATTCGTTTTTTTTCGTCTCTGAAGAGAGCTCCTACCACAATTTCCACGATGAATATGACGTTACATTAAAGTCAAAATCACGATATTTTAACCATATTTATATTAATAATGTATTTAAAAAATGATACCTCGAATATTCAATCGCAAATTTAAAATAATTCAAGATGTTTCTGCAAATTACACAATTAAAGTTTCAGCATTATAAGCTCCATAAGTTATTTGCAACTTTAAAAATCGAAAGATTCATTTTCATTAATTAAATATTATTAAATAATTACATTAATAACATAATCCATAAACTATTCGTAATTTTAGAAATTGAAAGTATGCGTTGGAGAAGTCAGCGCTATTGTATCATTCTATCTTTATCATTCATTGGACGTAAACCAGAATAAAATAAAACAATAACTAATAACGTGTTCCCCGAACGTATCCAAAAATGTCTCTTCATTATTCAAGACATTATTAAATAACATTACTAATGCTAAGATATATGTCAAAAAAATCAGATGTCGCGAAACATGTGAACGTTCATTAAATATTCAAGAGAATTCTGAACGATCGATAAAACATTCACGTGATTCGTCGAATCATCCTCAAGTATCAGATAAATATCTAAGAAGGGGCTGAGGAATAATTATGGAATGTATCCACATCATATCTACATATTCTTGACATGTAGTGGAATATTCATTATACATATCCAAGAATATCCAAGAATATCCGTTGAATATCTTCAATCGTTTCCGAGCTCACGATATGAACGGACTGTGACGATCGGATGAAATATACCTTCGACATTTTCAAAAAATAATGTGCAGTTCTTAAATTTAAATTTATGCCCGATTCTATCAATGTAGTTTAATTTTAATCTTGGTTCAACTAATTCTTCATCTTTTTCTCCTTCTAAGAATTAAAAAAAACGAGGAATTAGTTAAACCGAGATTAAAGTTAATCTACGTTGGTAAAAACGGACATGAAAGAGAAACGAGTGATTCTTTCTTCTTGCGCGAGGAAGATCGTCTTGCATCTTTTCGTGATAATATTGCATTCACAGAATCACATACGTAATAGATATACCATAATTATGCATTCCTTTTAACTCGTTAAAAAGAATTGAGCATACCAGCCTCTCTCTTCAAAACTCTATCAGTATATCTCTCTCAACTTGAGAGAGAGAGAGAGAGAGAGAGATATGTTTCAAGCTACCTCTTTCTAAAACCAGTAATAATTTCATAAAAATGCAGTTATTCTTAATACATCTATGGTATTGGAATTCGCTTTTTTAATAGCTAAATACATTCAAATCTCTCGGACGAATCTTTGATAGATACATCCAAATCGGACGAACCTTTGATAGTTATATTCAAATCGGTCGAAACTTTGATAGATATACATTCAAATCGGACAATCCTCGAGCTATAAGCTCGTTTCGCGCACGAGTGGGCGGGATATTTTTGTTCCTCCTCTGTATCGGGTGAATGTTTCGCGACGTAATCGGCATCCTTGACAGAGAGCACTTTCTCCGACGCGTCGACGGTAAGAACTCAACGACCAGCAACGATCGATTGATCAGTCAATCGGCCGAAACACAATCTGATCTTAGATCATCATCCAGAGAAGTTGTCCGATTTGCCTTTTGCGATGCTTGATAAAACTACATATCTATCAGACTAGGTATGTAGATTCAATCTCGGTTTAATTTTCAACTTTTTCTAAAAAAAATGAACAAAGATAAAAAAGTAAATTATACCGAAATTTAAAAAAAAAAGTTCTACATTGGTATAGAAATATATGTATGAGGATTGCAAATTTGAAGATTAAAATCAGTCACCTGACAAATCAGTTAATTTCAATTTTAATTCTTTATTATGTTCTAATTTGATAAATTTTAATCTTCAATTCGCAATTTTCGGTCCTTAATGTTTAACAGTTTAATGTCCGTTGTTAATGTAAATTAATTTTATCTTAAAATATTATTAATTAATATTAATCTAGGGGTTTTTATTCCTTATCAATTATATCTGTCTTTCTCGTTCTAAGAATTAGAAATAGATAAGGAATAAATTAAACCGAGATTAAAATTAATCTACATTGATAGAAGGACACGAGGCGAATTAGAATTTGCGTATTAAAACAAATCACAGATAATTTTAATTTTAATTCTCTATTGTGTTCTAATTTAAATAAAGTAAATTCTATCGTCAATTCGCAATCCTCAATTCCCAATGTATATATAACAGTCATTGTCTATTTTTCACAACGTAAATTACTTTCGATCATGATTCAAATTATATACTCTTTATCAACTTAACTTTTTATAGTTCTAAAAATTAGCATAAGAGTAAATTAAAACAACAATAGAGTTACGTTATATTGGTAGAAAAAAATTGAGATTATCAAAATGAAATTGAGATAAAATCAATTTACGTCGGTAGAAATAGATATCAGACTGTTATATTGGAAATTAAGGATTGCAAAAGAATTTTGAAGACAATTAAAGATTAGAATTTTATAATCAGGGAGGATAATTTCGATATATTTTGTTCTAGTTAAATGAATTTTAATTCCAATTCGCAATTCTCAGTCTTCAATGTATATAACAGTCCATTTTTACTAATGTAAATTAACCCTTACTATACAAGATCACTAGTGATCGAGCGATTCCTATTCATGCAAGTTTCTTTGAGTTCTTTGGTAATTATAAATTGTATTACATTTTATTATTTTCCAAAATAATAAAAGAAGTTTCAATATTTATTCTAGAAAGTTGAAAGTATGTTGATGAATTTTTAGAGATTTTTTTTAATCATTCTAAATAGATGATAAAAACGGACGGATGAGGCACCAAATTATACTTTACATTGTAAGAGTTAATTTTAATTTCGATTCAAAACTTACTGTTCAAAATTAAAGATTTTTCTAGTTCTAAGAATTAGAAAAACATAAAGAGTAAATTAAACCGAGATTATAGTTACTCATTGTAACTACACTAGTCTCTACATCGGCAGAAAGAACCAGATAACGGCTCTTTAGCTGAACGATACCTTCATCTGCTTTCTCCTTGTAACAGCTCAAACAAAACAAAATAAAATAATCGTTCAACTAGTCGAATATAGAAATTCGACTAAATGTCAAAGAAGAAAAGCAAGAAAGTGGACTGAAAAGCTATTGAGCGGTGCGGCTAACAGGAGCAAGCTTTCGAAGACGCCTCTCTCGAGAAGAGGTGACCGAAAGCACGCACGCACGCATGCACGCATCCATGCAGGCATTTATTTACGTCGCGCGAGGGGGGTGGATCCCTCTGTTGTCCGCTCACCCGGAACTCGTCGCGATCGAAGCAACGAGGACGACCTAGAAAGCAAAGAGATCCCGTTGCACTTGACACGACGTTTAAAATATATACGAGAAATACACAGGCTCGCAGGAGTATCTCCCGCATGTATCTACAAATCTCCCGAGCATCTGGGAGGCGTTTTCTCCTAGAGGAACGTGCAGGCTAAACACTCGTTGTTCCACAAAAACGAGACGACAACGATATGCCGCAAGATTGAACTAAAGTAAGAAAAAAAAATGAGGGAGAAATAGAAGATTGAGTGAAAGGAATCAAAAAAGACAGAATCGCAAAGTCCCAGTTTCCTGAATTGACATGTGAACGTCTTACCTGACTTTCCCACCGCAAAATTGACAGTGTGCGCCCTGCCAGCCCTCGCGGCACACACAGATGCCATTTTCGCAGACGCCGTTGACACAGGTGTCGGGGTCGCAGCCCGCGTCCAACGTCGGCGACGATGAGGAGGTGGAGGCGGCGGCGCTTACGTGGACCACCCAGCAGACGAGCGCCGCCCACAGTAGAAACGGTACCCACGGCATCGTCGCGGTCGCGTTGCCGCTGCCGCTGCCGCTGCCATGGCCACACCGACATCGACACCGACACCGCCACCGCTGATCGCAATTCTCCTCGCGGTTATGATCGAACCATGCGCCGCCGCCGCCGCCGCCGCCGTCGTCATCGTCGACGTCGCGACGACGTTTCCGACGGTACTTGGATTTATATAGGAACAAAAACATCTGCACGATCTCTGCCATTTTGATAGGCTTCCATGTCAGGGACAATGGCCGACGGCGACGCACCGACGAGGGACGCACATACGGGACGACGACGAAGACGAAGGAACTGAAAAGAGAACTGAGACCAGCTTTGCTCTTCTTTGGCTCGTCCCGCTTGCTTGTTCTCGCGCGACCCGACTCGGCTCTCGGCTCGATTCGACTCGATTCGACTCGACTCGCCCAACGGCGAACTCGCGCGACGGCGACTCGCTACGCTACTGCTCGCGCGCGCCGCACACCGCGCACGCTGCTGGCAGCTGGACTCTCTGGTGACTCCGGAGTGCTGGTGTGCTGGCACATACACATACACACACACACACACATACACACGCTGGCCAACACTGCCAAAGTGCGAACTTGTTCAATACAACTCAAGGGGGTGCATGCGGAGTGCACGACCACCATCGTCGCGCCACACAGCAGCTGTACTTATTATCTTACGCTTTGGCTGCATTTGGTTTGGCTTTCCATTTATGCCCGTTTTTATCAATGTAGTATAATTTTAATTTTGGTTCAACTAACTCTTCATCTTTGTCTAGCTCTAAGAATTAGGGAAAAATGAAGAATAAGTTGAACCAAGATAATCTATATTGAAAGAAATGAATAAGTTATACAAATCGACAGAATTAAGCCTCATTCTATCTTTCTTTACATTTAATAAGTAATCAAATAATAGAATGACACTTGTGTCACTAATAGAAAGCACTTTTTAGATACTCATAGCGCTTATCATCATTCTGTCTTTATCGTTTATTAGATAAGGATAGAAGAGTATAATAATGTTGATAGCGAGCTCTTCGAACGCTATTGTAGAAAGCCCATTAAGGCCCAGTTACACCAATGTCACTTTGATTTTAAGCGAAACTTAAAACTCTCGTTTTAAAGCCAAAAAGAGACAGAAATAGAAAGAGTTTTAAGCCTCGCTTAAAATCAAAGTAACGCTGGTGCAATCGGATCTAAGAAATTGAACAATCATAATCAAGTGTTATTCTCACATTCGAATGATTGAATGATTCCTTAATTAAGACTCATTACACTCAGTATTTTGTCTGGTTGCACCAACGTTATTTTAACTTTAAGTGAGACTTAAAATTAACGTTGGTGCAATCGGGCCTAAAACAACTCATACAGCACACATCTTTCCAGCAATATTACAGCAATATTGCTGTAAATTTCTGTGTTGTATCTGGGATTAGAAAGGATATTAATTAAAAGCGTCCAAACTGACCTAGAGATCTTATAACAGAGCTTAGTCACGAATAATTTTGTCAAAATAAGAGTAAGAAAAAATGGTGTATATAATACTGTCTCTGTAAATATACAAATAAATATATATAAATGCTTGAGAATCAATCAACATTTTTAAAAACATTAATATATCGAAATTCCTCCAAAGTGATTATTAAAAATTATTTTTTAATAATAAAAAATTATTTTTTAAGTTACAATTCATTTTAACACGTCATTTTTACGTTAGTGTGATTTATTATTATCTATTATTCTGCTTGGGTATGTTCATCAGTAGTTAACGACTTTTAAACGATAAGAAAACTGTCGATACGGACGATGATTTGAAAAACATTGAATCTCGAACAAATAAACAAGAAATGTTAAATAAATATTTTATTATTTATAAGTATCACATATAACATATATAAATTCTAAAATTATCAGTTAAGTCAGTTTCCAATCTTTTTTTAATTCAGCACATTAAATAATAATTCAAATTTTAGAGAAGTGCAAACACTGCAGAACTTAGCAGTATAGATATTATTTTCCCACAGATACCGCTAACATAATTAACATTTAAAAATAAAAAGTTAATGTTTTAAAGTTTTTATTTGTTATTCTATCATTTTTAAAATAATTTTATTACAATGACGATATCGCTTTGATTAAAATGAAACTATAAACATAATAGGTACATATAATTTAGGCTTTCACAAATTTTAAAATTAACTAATTTTTAATTTTTTTTTATTTTAAAATTACTTTTTACTTTTGCTCTTCACTCGCTTTTTACTTATGTTTAAATTTTTTTATTCGTTTTATATTTTCTAAAAAAAACTTTCGTAGCACACTTTAAAGATTTTCCGCGGTACACACCGATTGAAAAATCTTATAATAAGATTAATTAACAGAACAATCGGTTTTGCAAATCGGCATAAATCATCCTATATCCTAGTTCACTGAAATTCGATGAACACAGGCAAAACCAAATACAACTAACATATTATGAAGATAAATAGAAAATAATAAATTATAAGAGAATGGTTTTCATCTGCTTCTTTCAATTAGAATTACGTAATAACTAATAACGTACGTAACATCATTAAATAATTTGTTTATGCAAATAAACAAAGTTTAGCAAATTAAATCAACTTGGTTTGTATTCCACTTACACATAATCTATCATTTTATCTTCGTTTAACATTCGGTGAATAACAAGGATAAAATGATATCAAAACGGAATGTATACCCTTGAATTGAATTCATACAGACGAAATAAATAAATAACAAACCCGTTAAAATTAATATAGATTTTTAATCATTAATTAATATAGATTTTGTTTATATAAAATTAAACTTAAAGAAAAATAGATATATTTAAGACATTCTGTATAAATCGCGAAAGCAGAATGCGTTTTCTATTTCCCTCACCCCTCCCTCACCACTCGCAATCGTAATAGGCGGTTAAATTGACGTCGTTTACGATTGCCATGTGTAGTCACTAGGTTAGGTTTCTCATGGTAGCCTAGACATCGTGTTGCTAATGCATGGCCAGAAGTATAAATTTGCACAGATAAACGCAACTCTGGAACATTGATCGACCAGCCTCTTGTATCAGATACAAGAAGATAGATAACGCCGGCGTGGCAGCTCATCTGCACGTCGAGGTGCTGTAAGCACGTGGTGAGGTTAAGCTATGGCGAAGTATCTGATACAGATCATCGTGATGGGCACGCAGGTCATCGGCAAAGCGTTCGCGCGCGCATTGCGCCAGGAAATCGCGGCGAGCCAGGAAGCGGCACGGAGGGCGGGCGGTGGCACTCGGGGAGCGCAACACGTCGCCGCCAACACCAGGACCGGTCTTACCCTAGAAGAGGCTCTACGCATCCTGAACGTGGAACGTCCTGATCAAACGGAGTTGATCGAGCAAAACTACAAATATCTCATGGAGGCTAATGACAAGTCGAAGGGCGGTTCATTCTATCTGCAGTCTAAGATTGTTCGTGCCAAGGAACGCATTGACGAGGAATTAAGAAACCAAAAGGGAACGGCGACTCCACCACCACCGACATCGCAGGAAGCTTCGACAAGCAGTCGAGAAACTTCTAGGCAGCCATGAGATTTGTTCCTAGTCTAAATTTACTTATTCTAGACAACTGTACATAATGTCATAATAAACAATAGATTCTGATATTGATTAGCATGGTTTCAAAGTATAGCATGTTGTTTTTTTTTGTCCAACATAGAAATTTGTAAATATGTAATATGATCTTGAAAATGTTGATTTTAAAATGTATATTTTGAGCGCGCACAATATTTGAAACTTTTGTGAGAATAAAATGTTAGTTTCTATATTAAGGAATATGATTTGTGGGTTTCATACTATTGCATCATGTTACATGAAGATAAATAAAAGTAGAATATAGCCATATATATGTATATATATTTATAGGAGATATATTGAGTGATATAACAGTCTTTGTGAAGAGAAGTTCTCGCTCTTATACGAGACTTTTCAGTTCTAATAATCAAATTCTAGCGCTATTGAGTTAATCCGGCCGCCTTTGCATCATCCGCATCGATTCTATTTTGTGCCTGGCGTATGATCAACCGTTCTTGATTGTGGCGTACAGACCATAAACTTGGCAGGTACTTTGGTTTCATTGTGAAAAGAAAATGTTCTCTCCACATACGTTCCAACTCGACGAGTCCGCTTTCTTGCTTTTGAAAATGTTGTACCACCTGTCGAATAAAATTAAACTGAATAATACAAAGACTTCACATATTTTTTTTAACGATTTATTTTAAAATCAGTACCTTTAAGCCATGTGGCTGATACTTGTTAGGTATCGGTTTCTGGATCAGTGCATTCTTCAATTGCTCGTTCAGACCATTAAGCAGATCCGGTGTAATTTTCTGCTGTCCTGTATGCTCTAGTATGTAATTTTCATACTCTTCGCGTTGCCGAGGAGGTAACGTGAACTTTTCTCTCAAGGCCTTAACAGCCGAATGCAACTTTCGGCGGTTATGCAAAAAATTGTCTCGTACATGTGTCATTGGTCCAATTAACGGTGCATCACACATGTCTGCTAACTTTCTTCTGAGTTGCAGATCATGATTATTGCTGATTTCATGACACGAAGGACATAATAATAATACATCATGAGATTGATGTGCCTTCATTACCACTGAAAAGAATGTTCATTTTGATAAGTACATATGTATATAGAGAACAATTATATTCTTACACTTATTAGATTGGCATGTTATTCATTAATCAATGTAAATATTATATCTTTATTTTTAATATTTTTAATAATTTTTATATAATGGATAAAAAAATGATAAAAATGCTTACATGGGAAATACTTTCGATATTCTCGTGGCACAACATTTTTTCTAATAAATTTCTCAGTGCATCCACAGACTACACATTGATTGAGTTTCACCTGTGTATAATATTGTCCAACTTCTCCCAATGCTCGGCCAGATGGCTCAAAATTTAATCTGACTGTATATGGATCTGTCTCCACAAGTTTTCCTAAATTTTTCGTAATATACCATTCTGCTTTCTTGCGATCGCATGTACACAATATATCTCCATCAGGTGCTTGTAAATAACAATTATGATATAATGGTTTAATTCTAGTAGGTATCGCATTTTTACGATCGTTAATAGTGTTTTTATCTACTACTACTGATTTATTCTTAGCATTTAAAACATTATTATTAGCAATACTGTCCGCACTTGGTGATCGCTGACTCTTGAACCTTAAACAGATGTATATTTATATATACCTCTCTCTCTCTCTCTCTCTCTCTCTCTCTCTCTCTCTCTCTCTCATATGTATAATTTTAAATAATTTATATAATTAATATAAATTTATATAAATTTTTATACCTCGTATCAACTGTTCTAGCAGGTACACCATGAATCCGCACATTGATATCACTACTCAATATATTATATAAGTAAATTCCTACTCTCTGCCATAATGTATACTTTTCTTTTTCTTTTTGCATTATCTGAAACAAAATTGAATACGAGAAACATAATTTATAGTATAGTGGATATAGAAATATTATATAATAATCATGTATAAAAACAAATTAAAAATTCTTACCTTATGATAAACGATAACAGATGCAAGCGCATCACAAGCGGCATACGCAACTTGTTCGTCGGTTAAGGTGCTAGCATCCCAGTCACCACACCTGACTTCTATTATTTTGTCCATCTCTATATTAAGATATTCTAAACACATGGCGGCTAAGCTCTTCCGGCTCGGTAGATTAAAATTTTCAGCTAGGGTTCTCAAATCAAGAGTTCCATTAACTCTACATCCATAATCCTTTACAATCTTATGTCCATCTTCGAACGAAGAGATCCCGACTTTAAGGATGTGTTTACTAGCTAACAATTCCTTAACACATAAACATAATTACAAATCAATATTATGCATAATATTAATCAATCTTGAACTTTTTGTGAAACATTACCTTAAGTTTAGGTGGAATGTATCCAATCTTTCCAATGCGAAACAAAGCAATTAGTCCATTGTAAGTAGCTAATTGTAACAGAGAGACAGGTCCTTCTTTGACCCATTCGCAATCGAAACCCAGTACACCATCAGACAGATCACTATCAAAGAAACATATACAACAAATTAATTTTGTTTTAATAAGACATCATAAATAATGTTACTATTCCTTCTGGAGAGCACGTTGCATCAAACAGATTTGAGAAAAGCAATCAATATAGAATTAGGACAAATGTATTATATTATAAAAGGAAATTGAAGAAGAAATTAATCTCTTGTAATTAATAACAAAATTTATTTTACTGAAGAAAAAAAATTGTCTGAGAAAAGCAGTCAACATAAAAATAGAGCAAGTGTAAATTTATATTATAAGAGGAAACTAAAAAAAAATTCATTTTATTCTTTGTAATTAATAAATAATAACAAAATTTATTTTACAAAAGAAGTCTTATAAATTAAAAATTAAAATAAACTTTCTTTCGTATAACGATCGCGATTTTGCCAGCTATTGTTATAGGAAATCCAGATCTTTCTCGGAGAATCCCAAGGACACTTATTCCAAACACAATAATCTTGGTATTCGGTTCTCTCCAGAAAAAATGTAAACAATAATTATGAAAACGGTCGTTTCCATCATGTTATGGAAAGTCATGAGATATAGTAATGTCTGTTGTAATGTCTTAGGACGTAATTGGGAGAATATATGTTGAGAGATTAAAAAACGCTTAAAATTAGCAATATTAAATTTTGATTTTCGCTTACCAACGAATACGCTGTACGGCGTAATCGCATTTTTCCGGAGAGTCGGCCAGAATAATCTTGTCTAATATAAGCTTATTCTCTTTGTTGTCATTATCCTCATTATTATTATTATCAGTATCATGCTTATCGCGTTTGGCTGTATTATCAGTATCCTTACTGCCATCGCGATTTTTAATATTTTTATACAAATGCTTGACGCTGCGAAGTACGTTGTTGCGATACTTCGATGCCAAAAAGACAAGTCCCACGGTCACGCAAACGAGAAACATGTTGTTACGTGCGGGAACCATTAATCAAAGAGGAGAAAAGACGCTTGAAACGCGCAAAAAATTCGATTTAAAAAATCAACGTTATATATACAATTTCTTCGTTATCGATATACATATATAGATATATACACGTGCGTGTGAGTTACACGATGTTACAATTCTAAATAAAATGTCAATGCAAAACAATCGCTCGTCGAGCAATCGGATTATAGCACAATTGTAACGATGAAGGCAACTCAGCACATCAATCGATCACAGTGATAAACTCTTTTTCTCTGTCTCTTTCTCTCTCTCTCTCTCGAAGATTCGTCTCAAAAGCATTAATATTAATATAAAACTGACGCAGCTCGGCGATCGCGCGGAATCATTCGACTAGATAAATCTACGATTATCTGAAATCACGGTCGCCCCTGCTCGAAACTGCTCCGTATAAAATAATCATCTCGGTGACCAGCTCCGATCTCATTCAAATTTAATGCGAAACGAGGTTCAAGGGACCCCGTAGCTTTTGAAGAACGACCGGCGTACGCGGCTACGGGTTTCACGCACGACTAACTTAGATTAACTGCAACTAACGGAAACGACTCCCGGTTAACTACCTATGTTTATCTGCCTGTCGGCCCTGCCGCCTGCCGTCCGGTAGATCATGCCGGTATTGCTATTATGGCTCCTGCACAGAACGTGGCAACTGGCGGTAACGTTTGAAGTTGGCGCGATAGCCAATCAATGGCTGCGTTCTGTTTCACGCATGTTACATTATTTATCCTTGTTATTCATCGAATGTTAAACAAAGATAAATGATGCATCATGAGCATCATGTGTGAAACGGAACGCAGCTAATATCTTGCTTGCTAGGAAGTAATAAATATATAATTTCCATCGCGCGACAAAAGTCGAACTCAATCCAACTTTTGCCGCGTGGCGGAAATAATATTACATCATTTCTAGAAGTTTTGCATAGTGAGGCCGACTTCCTAGCAAACAAGAATGGATTAAAATAGATTGAAATTTTTTTCTATCCGAATGCGTATTTTAAATAGCGAATATTTTTTTTTGGATTTAATTGGATCCAATTGGATTCAATTAGATGCAATTGGATTGAAAAACTGCATTTCCTATTCAAAATTTTGAATTGAACAGTATTCACAATGTACAGAAAAAGCTAATAGTATTTTTATAGAGTTTTCTCTTGACTGCACTATCATCCACCAGTGCAACACTCAGATAGTGTAGCGTGTTTCCTTGGCTGATAGTAGACGAACTCATTCAGTGTCCATTTCAATTTATTTCAATCCATTCTCGTTTGCTGAGTTAAGAACATAGAATTATTGGTTAATGCGATAATTTCCGCAACAGTACATACAATAGCGCAACTTTCCTGATTTTATGTTGGCCAAAATGGAGTGCGCATGCGTGAAATAAGTAAGTTACCTCGTCTCTTTTCCTTCTTTTTTTATTGCTCTCTCTCTCTTTCTCTCTCTATTTAAGTAAGCGTTTCAATATTCCACTTAAACATTTGTCTTTCAAGCATACATGGAATTCAGAGTAGAAATTTAGAGGGAAGTATTACGTGTATTGTCTATTTTGTGAAATGTTGTGTGAGAAATCTCGAGAGATTCATGGTCTAATTTTTGTGAAAAAGTG